TTGGTGAGTTTGGTTTTTAGAGAGATGATGCGGGATCGAGAAGTGCTCGCAAAGGAGGCTGATAGGCGATCCCAGGCATCCTTAGCAGTGGATGCGGATGCGATAAGTGGCTGGATTTCATCAGAACAGGAGCCTAAGATAGCGCTATAGATGCTCTGGTCTTGGCGAGCCCATAGGGCATAGGCCGGGTTGGGTTTGGAATCGGCAAGAGTTTTGTCTGGCGCTGGGGTGTCACCAGTGATGTAGTCAGCAAGATCAAGGCCGACCAGCGAGGATTGAACGTGGCGTCTCCATACGGGGAAGTTCTGGGCAGTGAGTTTGATGTTGAAGTGAGTGGAGGCGGTAATGGTGATGATGGTGGAAGCCATGGATGAATAGGGTAAAGGATGAACAGGGATCGATGGAGGAAACTCGTGAGAGTGTTTCTATGCTCTGATACCATGAGAAGGTAATTGGAAAAGTGATTTTTCAATATCATTTACATAACTATATATACAAAAGAGATGCACAATTACATGAGATAAATAAGGTAAATTACAACAATCATTGACTAAACTATAATTGGAATATATGCTGAATTAATGATAATGGCTAACTAATTATGTATAATATTATTATTGCTAATAAGTAGCCCGGTTGGGCTCGTTTCTTCCATTTTGGCCCGTTTGGCTCCTACCCATCAAGATGAAAATTGAACATTTCACGGAACGTCATGTAACACAATAACCCACAAAACAGGAATTGGGCCGGTTAGCTACCAAAAAGCGTACATGTGCTAGAAAGTTGTCTGGCTGACCCCGTTTCGTCTATGTTCTCCCATTTGGCCCCTATCCTTGACTAGGACGGAAAAGGAAACATATATTAGGAGATGTTATATATCACAATATACCCAAAAACGTGATTTGGGCCGATTGGCCACCGGAAATGGCGTCCATGAAAGTTGCTTGGTTGGGTTTGTTTCGTATGTTTTAATCCGTTTAGCCCCTACCCAGGGCCGTTCCTAGGGAGGGCAGGATGGACATGTGCGGAGGGCCAAAAATGTATATTACGGACCCAAATTTTTTAATATATATATATATATACTATACAGTAGTAGTTCAAAAAAAAAATAGTACATGAAAGAGACCCAAATTTTTTAGCATATAATAAGTTACAAGAAGAATTTAACAAATAACAAAGACTCAAAAATATATAAACTAAGAAAATTCTTACCTTCAAAAATTTACGAACATAGTAATGACCAAACTCATATCTATAATTTTGGATTTCAAAACTACTCTTGGTTTTTCATTCATTCTAGAATTCTAATTAGCCAAGTAGAAGTACACTAATCTTACATACTCACACATCTATAATAACAGGATGGAAAAAGAAACATACAACATGTAACATCCCAAACCAATCGTATTAGATATTGTTCGTTTCGTCCGTCACCTAAACTTAGGTTTAAAAATGCATCAGATGGAAAAGGTATCCAAGTCCCTTATAAGATAATTTTTTTGTTCCCTTCCTCAACCAATGTGGGATCTTATAATCCACCCTCCTTGAGTGCCAACGTCCTTGCTGACACATCAGTCAGGTCCTCGGCTCTGGTACCATCTGTAACATCACAAGCCAACCGTAACAGATATTGTCCACTTTATCTGCACACCTAGACTCGTTGGTTTTCAAACACATCTGATAGAAGAGGTATACAAGTCCCTTATATATACGGCAACTTTTCATCCTCTTTCCAACCAATATGGAATCTTATATAACAAGCCGTTATGTCACATTATATATCCAAAAAGTAGGAATCAAGCCGATTGGCCACTGAAAAAGGAGCGTACGAAATTTGTTTAGTTGGATATATTTTATCTCTGTTTAAACCCATTTGGCCCCTACTCATAATCCGAGATTTGTTTGTGCTTGATTACCGCTTACATTAGTTCAAGTGGTATGCAATGACACTTATGCTTTCGGTTGTTTTAGAACATATCAATATATATATTATAACAGATAATAATGAGGCTTTACAGAATATTCAAAAATTATAATAACCGATACATATTTGCAAGGGCCTTTTTTTAGAACTCTCTAAATTGTGAGGTCCCTTAGAATCAATACACCATATTTCATATGATTTTTTTATCTATGGCTGGAATTATCTATATATATATATATATATATATATATAATGATTAACATATTTTTGTTTTACATGTACTTGGTTTACAATCTGAATCTTTTTTGGGGTGTTTGTGAAACAAAAAATACACATAAAAATGTTCACTTTGTTAACTAATTTGTTAACTAATTAATACATACGAAATAAACACATAATGAAACAAATATATTAATCAATACATTAAATATTATGCTTAAACGGAAAAAATAATGTGAAACAAAACCATTAGGTAAATATTCTTACAGATCTCATAAAATTTGAAATTATCAAATAATTAACCCTCATATTAATAAATATGTTAAAATTAAAATGTAATAAATAATTAAATCAACTTAAATTAAATGATTAATATATAAATATAAACATGATTTTTCTTTCAAAAGCTATCATATATTTTGAATTTGATATATAAAATCAATATATCATTTATTAGTATTTATAAAAGATTATGTCTGAGCATACACGGACCAAAAACGTTTCCGTCTATTATTTTGCACCATTTAGGGAACAAAGTAACGATTTTGGCTTCCATGGACAAGAAATGCTTAATCCATCCATTCAAACTTATATGCTAAAATTGTATGTCTGTATTTATTAAGTCATATACTTTTCAAAGAGAATGGAATAATCGACCGAGTCCGATTTCATAATATTTTAGGTACTTCGAAATTATTGGCCCTGAGAAATTAAAAAAACTATCACTAAAATAATGTGGGATTGTTAGATACACCGCAACAAAATTGGGTTTATAGGACACTCCCAATTTTTAAGCATCCTAATAGACATCTTTATAAGAGTTAATTTAAACCAAAAAAATAAAGTGTCCATCCACTACAACAAAATTGGGTTTATAGGACACCATCAATCTTTAAGCATCCCAATAAACCGCTTTATAAGACTTAATTTTTAGAACCAAAATATAAAGCGTCATATCTAAAGGTGTTGTAATAAGTTTATATGACGCTTTTGAACGTTTTAACAAGTTTTTTAAGACATTTTTAATACAAAGTGTCGTATTAGCAACTTTATAAGACACTTTTGAGAAAGTGTCATATAAACTCAATTTTTTATAGGACATTTTGTTATTATAGAACAATTTTTCAAATAGTATCCTATAAAGTTGTTAATGGGACATTTTGTATTAAAAAAGTGTCCTGAAAAACTTATTACGACGTCAAAAAACGTCATATAAAACTTATTACAACACCTTTAGATAGGACGCTTTATTTTTTTGGTCCTATAAACTATGTCTTATAAAGAGGTCTATTAGGACGCTTAAAAATTAGAAGTGTCCTATAAACCTGATTTTGTTGTAGTGATCTAAAGGCATTGTAATAAGTTTATATGATATTTTTTGACGTCGTAATAAGTTTTTTAGGACACTTTTAATATAAAGCGTCCCATTAGCAACTTTATAGGACACAATTTGAAAAACTATCTTATAAAAACAAGTGTCCTATAAAAATGAGTTTGGATGACACTTTCTTAAAAGTGTCATATAAAGTTGCTAATGCGACACTTTGTATTTAAAATGTCTTAAAAAACTTGTTAAGACGCTTAAAAACGTCATATAAACTTATTACAACACCTTTAGATAGGGCATTTTATATTTTGGTCCTATAAATGAAGTCCTATAAAACAATCTATTGGGACGCTTAGAGATTAAGGGTGTCCTGTAAACTCAATTTTGTTATAGTAATATATATTTCATTTATAAGAACATTAGTATTAAAAGAACCATAAAATCTTATAAGTTGATGGCTTGATGCATATATACATTAAATTAATATTGACAATAAAAGCCTTTAGATGTACTTAAGAACCACTTTTTCTATATATTGTAGATACTTAACCAAAATATTCTAATAAATAATAAGTGATTGAGTAACCATTTTTGGTCGGTTCATGTGTACATAGACAACTTAGAGATCATCGAAATCTTTTTTCAATTTAATGCTCTTAATTTCAGGCTCTGAAATGATCCTTTTATGCCTAACTATTGAATTCAAGAAAAATCAATCCAAATTTAAAATCTATTTACATAGAAATTATGATTTGTGCAATTTGAACCATGTTAAAATTAATCTGTTAATTGCCTAAAGGTATATGACAGTTGTATAGTATGTCGACGATAAATTAAAACGAAATTATTGATCTTATATATCCGATGTTCTTGAACATTAATACGATATGTCCATTTCTATATTTTGCAATATTAGAAAGAATATAAATAAATTATTATAAGATGGGGAAATATATCATTTTTTTTTATTTTAATTAAAAATTATGAAATTTATTATTGGCCTAAAATTGGGCATAAATTAGAGATCTTCTCTCATTCCCTTCATAATCATATTGCATAATTTATGTTAAATATATAAATGATTTTTTTTTAATTTTCCAGAAAATATGGCATGAAATTAAATAATTGGGTAGAAATTTGAATGGTTTAATTAAATAGGTAATGCAAATTGATTATAAGTTATAGAGGAAATCTCTCCTTAATATAATTCAATTAATTAATGTGTTTCTAAATATTTTGCATTGAAGACGAAACTATCTTGAGAAATAAAACTCAGGGACTTGAATTCTCTTGAGTGCAAAGATGAACACTGTGTTTTCTTTAAAACTAGAGATATAATCAATTCATCACCCATTATATATGCTTAATTATGTGCTAGTTTTACTCCATGCGATGATTGCACTAGACATTGTTTCCGTTTATACAAGATCTCATGCATTTAACTCTCTTTATTTAAATAGGCATGGTTTCCATCTCTCTCCAGATCTCTCTCTTTCGATCTCTACTGCAATCTCTTGATCTGTTTGAACAATGGAAGAAGAGCATAAATCAGAGCCATGTCCGTCTGAGGCTTCCAGCATATCGGCAGAAGGAGAAAGCTTGAAGAATAAGACGCTGGATAGCAAAGCTTTGGCAGAGGGTTCTTCTGATATCCAACTGAACAGGAGGGTTGGCAATCAGTCCTCTTCTAGGGCTTTCCTTGATATCAAATTCTCAAATACAGAAGATAAGAGATTAGAACTCAATCTGTTTAACCCTTCAAAGGTGGCGGCAGAGGGGGCAACTTCATCGCAGGTAAGTGAGTCTTCGAAGGAGACCACTCGAGAAAAGTCTAGGGTTTTTTCTTGCAACTACTGCAAGAGAGAGTTCTCAACCTCTCAAGCCCTGGGAGGTCACCAGAATGCCCATAAACAGGAGCGGCAAATTGCCAAAAGGCGGCAGATGGAGGTTCCGCCGTATGGCCACCTAGGGCCACCACCACCACATTATGGTAATTTTACCTACTACCCTTCGTTCCCAAATTTGACTAGTGCCTCAATCAGCAGCAATAGGTCATCACTTGGAATTAGAAATGAACCATTCATTCAACGATCACCTTCTTGGTCAACCTCACAGTTTAATTATCGGTATGCCTCAGTAGGGCATCATGACCAATTCACTACTGGATTACCATATTTTGATAGGCCAAAGATGTTGGAGGGTTTTCAAGGAAACATCACAAACAATAGTGACTGTTATGGTTCTCCTGCAGTAGCAACAGCTTCTTCCTCTTTTAAATTTGAGGGAGTCCCAGGAGCGGCTCATGATTTTTTTGGACCTTCTTCTGGAAATGGCAATCCAACACCTGCACTTGAAAATGGTATCGAAGGAGAAATTAGTGCCAATAACCTTCTCGCATTAGGTGTGGTTCATCCCGAGAACGATCAAGATGGATCCACTGTGGATCTTGATCTAAATCTCAAACTCTAATCATCAATTTTGTCATTTGTTAATTCGGTGTTGTGTTTTAAGAAACTTTTCCGAGTGGTTATGAATTATGCTATAGAAAATTATGATGTTTTGAATGAGTACTTGTTTGGTTGATGTTCAATGCCTATTTGTTTATATATGTTGATTTTGCATTTGTCTTATTTGTTCACATATGTCGATTTTATGTTTGTCTTGATAAGCGCGATGACTTAATTACACAAATTCGATTGACTTGACCACCATTTCTCACATGTAACAAGTGATACTGTTATATTTGTGCCTCAAAATCGGGTTTTATACCCATTCATGATGCCTTGTTGTTGGTCACGATCGTGAACTGAAGAGGCATCAAAACAGAAGGCTTTCATGGTTGTTTTCACAATCACAGACACATAATTGAAGAAAATTGAGGAAATATTTCAAATATTAAACCCATATATATACCTTTAGTTTAAGCACCTGTCCCGGTTTAAGTAATGAAATAGGTTGGTATCTGAACTATCCTGAACCAGTGAAAACCGAATGAACTTGTGGATGTGTCCTTGTTTTATGCACCAATCTCTCATGAATGGTGTGGTATTCCTCTCTCGCTTCTTTCACCTGCTACGAGCTGGCAGCACTGTGATACAGGGAGATTTGGCGACAAAATCAACGAGACGGAATAACTACAATACAAAAAGGAGAAAGAAGTCCTCTCGCGACCTCTTGCGTGACTTTTGGCGCCTCCAACTCTCTCGAGGGCGAGATAGAGGATCTTGCAACCAACCATGCGCCTTAAGCCATGTGGCTAGTCGCCCGTGTGCACCTGGGCGGCCACATCATCGTTTCCTCAACGATTTCCTTTGTATTTATGAATTTATTTCTTTCCTAATTACTTTAAGTTTCTTTTTTAATTATTATTTAAATACTTTCCTAGTTGATTTAACATTAGTTCAGTTTAAATTACGTAGTTATCTCTTCATTAGTTTAGTCCATTATTGTTTTCATTAACGTTAAGTTTATTATTGATCAATAAAATTATCGTAGAGTTTTATCTCTAGTTTTATGAGTCTTCTCTTAATTTTCCCAGTGATATGCTTGTAGACTCGTTATCCTTTAAAAGTTTAGACATTTGTCTCCCCTTCCACAATTTCCCGTTGCATCACACTGATAATTAACCTGGATATCCAACCCGCTATGATAAGAAGAGAGTGATTGATAAGAAGAGGTTGATTGAAGATGTTGGACAAGGTTTCTAGGCTTCCAAGATTTGTAGTTACCCTCAAGGAATGAACCTGCTGAGTGTTGAAGTTGGAGATAATTGGAACATGAGTCTTGGCAAATTGGCTAGGATTTGGAAAGGAGAGTGTATTATCAAAGGCAAGGTTTTTGGATAGAATCAAGAAGTACAAGTGGTACTAGGAAATTATAATGTAAATTATTGTTGTAGATTATTTCCTATCAATGGTGGATTCCAATTATGCAGTAGAGATGGTGCAAAAGGAGGCATCATGGACAAGGGTTTTGGGTTAACTACAATAAAATTGGGTTTATAAGAAGTCAAATTTTTTTAATATCCTAATAGACCCATTTATAGGAGCAAAAAATAAAGTGTCTTATATAAAGACTTAATAAGTTTATAAAACGTTTTTCAACATCATGAGAAGTCTTTAGAACATTTTTATACAAAAACATCGTATTTGCTATTTATTAGGACACTATTTGAAAATGTTTCATACAAAAACAAGTGTGTTATAAAAAGATAGATTTATAAGATATTTTTCAAAAGTGTCATATAAAATTGCTAATGTGAGGTTTTGTATTAAAAGTATCCTAAAATTTTTATTAAGACGATCAAAAGCGCCATATAAACTTATTACAACCTTTTTAGATAAAACATTTTATTTTTTGATCATATAAATTCAGTCCGATAAATCAGTCTATTAAGTTCTAAACCCAATTTTGTTGCAATTTCTGCAAGGGACTTGTTGTGGGCTCATAGTTATGAGAGGATTGATCTAATAATGATCTTCTCGGAACTTTTCGTATATAATGGTCGAAGCCTGCCAGGAGGAGAACGTGTTTGCAATACACCCAGAAAAAAGGTAACTAGTTGGGGGAAGAAGTTGACAAACAAAATTTTAGAGGTTTGTTTTGAAGTATTAAGGAACAGTAATATTTGAACTCATTGTCAATTAAACTGTGGTGAATTCAGTCCCTTCGTATCCCTCTTCTTTACCAATAAATTTAGGGCCCTGTCTCTCTCTTGGGAATTTCAGAATGACCAGCTATGTCAAGAACTTTAGTTAACTTGTGGGCGGCAGTGAGGCCAAGCCAAATAAAAGAAGAGCGATTGTTGGGCTTATTGACTTGGGCTTACTTTTGAGTCATGGAATTGATTAGTGGAAAAGTAATGCATGTTTCATATCAAAGAAGTTGGCTTGCTGATCAGAAGTAATAACATTTGAACTCTCAATTAATGTGCCTTTTTTTAATCCAAGGCAAATAGTAGAAGCATATGGTAACATTATCATGCAATAATAGTATGATACATTAGTCTTTTGTAACATTTGAAGTTCCTTCCAAGAGTTGGCATCACTCTCATAAGCCTTAGTGGCAAGCTATCTATCCAATCTACTGTGAAATAGGCTGTCTAGGTGTACTATACAAGGCCACTATCATGAATTTCCTGACTCGGGTTTGTTTGCAGGTTTAGCATAATAATCTATGTACATAGTTATGTTTATAGCTAAGGCTTAAAGGGAAATGTATGCTAGTGTAGGCAGTAGCAATTTGTGCACTTGATGATGACACAGACTTGTGAAATATGATGATAAAGATAGACTCTAGAAAAGAAGCAAGAAAGGAAGTGTATTCTTTTTTTCAAGTAGAAAGACCTGCATTTTCAAGATTAGGATGAGTTCTTGTTACTGTTGCACATGGCATCTTACTGTAACCAATCCAAACTGTTTCAAGATCTACACTTCCCTCTTCCATTTGCATCTCCATTTCATCTAATCTTTTCACTTTGATGATCTTCACGAGCACCATTCCTATAAAACTCACCAAAAGCACCGTCACAGACCCAACCCCCCACCAAACCCACACTCCTACTGCCTTCTTCCTCTTTGGTATAACAACCGAGAACCGACCATAGCTTCTAGTATGACACACATTTCCAACACTAATTTCACCAACAGAAACTTTACCATTTGAGACTCCAAAAGAAGCACACTTCGCACCTCTAGGAAACTTCAAGTTTGGAAAACGAACTGATATGGGTGCTTCACTTGTGTTGAAATCAAGCTTTCTGACATTTCCGGTGGTCGGATTAGATGCATCATAAACTCTAAAACCAACAACTGAAGACACTAACGAGTAGCCCGGAACCGTGTGGTTATATAATTGATATGACAAGTTGCCCAAATCTTGATACATTATGACAACTCTTTTCACATAAGGCATTGGGAGAGTTCTTGATGGGATTTGAAAACTACTGAAGTTTGCTCCTTTTCTCCATAAGGTTTTGCTTCTGAGCCTAACATAGGAGACATCCATGCCTGATAAACTAGCGGGTAACTTGATCTCATAAAGAGTCCCAGTTTCATTGCGCTGGCGGTGAAATAGTAGGGATTTTAGAGCATGATCTTGGAGGATAAAATCTAATGGTTCAGCAGCAGTAGCAATGTGTTTACTATCAAAGCTTTGGGCAAAAGAGCAGAAAGATGAGCAAAGAAGGAACAGCAATATCATGATATCTTCCATTGTCACACAAATTAACCGAGTCGTTGGGTCATTAGTAGTTGTTTAAACGTGATGCGAAAGGCTAATCATTGATATTTTTTCTCCATTCTTGTGGGTCAGGTTGTTAGCGACAGATGGGATTTGTAAGCTTTCTAATTCTACAAATCGATGGTGAGAAAGCATTTCAAAAAATATAGTAAAGAAATCTAAGAGTAGCAACTTTATTGATGATAAATAATCATGATGGAGTGAAGCATGAGATGAGGGTCTTTCTTTTCCCGTGGAATGCGGGATGATTGTTGTCCCAAAGGGTCCCAATTTGTAGGAGAGCCAATTTAGCATCTAAATTTGTAAGAGAATGGACACTTAAGTCTAGTGGGGTAAGTTTAAATCATTAAGCATTTAGCTTCAATGTATCTGAATCATCTTAACCAATAAGATTTTTTAAGTTTATAGATTTAAATCTGCTTTTACTTCCCACTTATCCTAGAAAAGGCTAGGCTCCATTTAAACCACATGAATTGAGAAATCAACGGCTACATAGATGAAGAAATCTAGACAAGTGAAGTGACATATAAGAGGTCATGATAATAGGAGATATCTACTAATGGATAAACATTTATAGATTAATAATGTAGACTTGGGATCATGTGGGAACAAAGGTTTTTCGTGAGACCTGTAAGACCAATTCTTAATCCTTGGATTAGATCTACAATCTGAACATTCATAATCACAAAATTGCCACGAGACTTCTCAATAATCACAAAATTTTCACCGTGCAACTTTAGACCATTAGATCGTTAGCTTATAAAGTTGATCAATGAATATAAATTGGTCTTACGGGTCTCACGAAAAAGCATTGGTCTCATGTGAACCCAACCCTAATAATATATTGGAGGATAACTCCCATATAATATTATATCTAAATTAACACTAACACATGATCAAGGGTAATTCAGAGTTGATCATTGATGTTTATGGTTTAAATTTTAACGCTATTGTATACGTTTTGCAAATGTTTGCAATGTTTCTTTTGGGAACTTGGGATACATGGAATGTTGCACAGAATGTTACATTTGTGGCACAAAAGGTCAAATTGCACATGAAGGTTGGTCAAAGAGAAGGTTGGGGCCGGTCAAGAAAATAACACCAACATAAAGTGCTAATCAAAACTTTGAACACATATGATATCGTTCTTGTGTGCATTTGTCTATAAATAATAGTGTTGAAAAAGGCACGTTATATGCAAGGCGCATCTCCATCGATACGATAAGATCTGTAGCGTTTGTATAAGGCGTGTGTCACAATGCATGTCTTTTCGAGGCGTGGTTTTTCCTCAATTTTTTTTGTTCTTTTAACGTCTGTGTTTTTACACTTCTAACTTTATATTTTACAATTTTACAGACTCACCTAATCACATGATTCAGAGTTTTCATGGATTCACGCATGTTACGGACTCACGGTTGAAACAAAGCAGTAAAACCATTCTAAGTTTTATTTTGAATATTTGATCACAAACTATTTATACAATGGTAGTTAATATATATGATTTTTTTTCTTTTAATATAAATGTAAAAATGTTAATATCACTATATTCTTGATAATAAAATGGAAAAAAATAATAATATCGATATATAGTTATATATACGAAATAAATTTGTCATCTTATGTCACGCCTTGATAACTGTCGCATTACCGTCATGACATGTAAAGTTTAAGACTTGAGCTCGTCAGTACACCACATTTTGAATTGATTATATAACATCTTACAAATCTGTAATAATTATATTCAAAAAATAAGATGTGGAATTTATATAAGTTGGTAATTTAATATGTAGATTAATTCCCTTTATATTTAAATTATTTTAAAATAATCTAGAAGAAAATCTAAATCTGAAATTGTTGGATAATTAATAAAGAATCACAAGCAAGTAACCTGGTATATATGTTCTTACATGAAAAAAAAAAAAATTATTTTTAACATTGTGGTGTCACAAGCCAATCATACCACATAGTATTTATTTTGTCTATATATTTGGACTCAAAATTTTAAAACGTGTCTGATGGAGGAAGGTATCAATCCCTTTATAAGAGGATTTTTGTTCTCTTTCCCAACCAATGTGGGATCTTACATTTAATACATATGGAACATTATTCTTTTTTGATACATATGAATCATTATTCGTTTGATTTGGTGTTAGTCTTTTTTCCAACACATGAAACATTATTATAGATCGTTTTTAAAAAAGTTAATGTGTTGTTTCATAAATGAAACAACATTGATATAAAACTAGGGCAACAAAAACTCTTATTAAATAATGTATTGTTTCATTAGTGAAATAACAAAGCATGAAATTAAGGTAACAAAACAATTATTATTTCACATGAAACCCAATGATTGGTATGTTTTAATTTGAGAAACAAAACATTCACATGAAGATGATTGGAGAGAAAACGAAGAAATCATTTATGACAGCCAAATGAGATTCTTAAATAAGAGATTATCCCTTAAACAAATTCATTAAATATAATATCCTGCGAGATATTTAAAGAAGATTAATTGCGTGAGCGATCGAATCCCTAGCCTGTGTTACTATTTAGCACATTTTTGGGGTTAATTAAAGTTATATATTTGTTATTACATATTAAAACATAAGGGTAATTGTTACGAATGTTCAGCTACATATAAACGGAGTAAATAATGGACCGGATATTTCTCTTGTTATAATGGGTAAATTTTTCAAAATAAATAGACTACTTAACACGTAATATACAATGTTGTATCATAAAAATAAAAAAAAAACATTGAAGTAAAATACTACTTTTTGCATTTAGATCTTAAAGATATTATTGTTGAACATGAGGTCTAATTCGATTCAAAACATGTACACAATCTCACGAATAAGGGCATTGAATCTTATCCCATTTATCTTCCTCCCATTTCATTGTTTTTCCTACATGCATGGATTACACTTAAATCAGAATTCAGAAGTCAAGAATCTTGTTTTAGCACCACAAATTAAAATTTCTTCAATAACAAAGAGGAAGAACAAGGAGGCATGGGGGATGGACTGGGGAAATGAGCTCATACATAAATGCTTAAGGACATACAGAAATCTTATACAACTAAAGGAGGATTTTGCAGCAAAACCTAACCTTCAAGCACACGAATTACGTTAGAGAACTTAAAATGGTTGTGTGGGTCTTGATCCAAGTGTAATTAAGAAGCTACATTCTACAACTCGTTGCTACCTTCGCTATTCACCCTATATTTTGCAAGTTGACCATTAACGTATTGGGTTGGGTTTTTCTGTAGGGTGATGTGATCAGACCCGCAACCGCAAACGTACCTTGTTCAGGGCTCTTCTAAATATCGCCCAACCCCATTTGGACTGTGAGCAGAGACAAGAGGTAGGTGGAGAGCTTGACATTTGGATAAAAAGAAAATTGCATACATGTTTTTTTATTTCTTACACAGCGGTAGACATTTTTTTTTTTTATTAACCTGGATATCCAACCCGTTCAGTAAGCCGACTAATCCCAGGACGACCATCTGCTTTGCAGATAGCCCAGAGTCATCGCATTTGAACCTCCGTAACCACAAAAGGATTTTTATTCCTCCTTAAATTTGAACTTAGGACCTCCTGGTACTTTTGATATTTAGAATCAAACTTAAATCAATCAGACACCACCGTTAAGGTTTGAAATACATATTTTTGTGTTGCATTGGGGGTGGAAAGAATCAAACAAACAAGGGTTATACTTATACCTGGTGAAAAGAAAGGTCATTGGCAAAAATGGTAACCCTAGAAATAGGTAGGTAGGTAGGTTAACTCCAGTGGAATCTTTAGGTCTCTGTTCAAAAACGTTTTGTTGTGAAGACTTGAGGCAACTTGGTACTATCTCTCAGGAAATCAGGGATTTATGGATTTTGTGGTTAAAATAATCCATTCTAATTCTAGGGTGATAATTGAAGTTAAGGAATTATAAAACACTTCATTTAACTTGTTTTCTTTGCTTTTAATTTTATTTTTCACCATTTGCTTTTCACTTTTTGTGTGGGGAGCAAATTAACACATCTATATATAGTAATCCCTTTGAATAATATAAAGTATGTATCCGTGTTACACGAGGACTCAGTACATTTAGTTTAGCATAAAAAAATTTAATTATTTTGATCGATGAGTCTAGTTTTGTCAAATTGTTTTTTATATTAGACACCGGAGGAACATTTTTCAAAAAAATGTAAAATACATCGTTCTTGAATAATCAATGGTCAAATAAGTTGATTCAAAATCCGTACAACAAAACGTTGGAACAGTGTACGGATTGTCAATATTGGAATTGTTAATTAAGTTGCAGCATATTGCAGGATTATATAAACATTCTAAACTTAAACTGGAAAAAAAAAATCAATACACTATCTTATTACTTATCTTATTTGGTTGGTTAGATGATTTTTATTGAGATCTTAAATAGAAATCTTTTTTATGGTAGGATCTAGTTTTACTAAGGGCATCTCCTATTTTTTTTATCATTTGCACTCTAATGAAGACATTATAATTTACTCTAAAATGATATTATGAATAGTAAAATACCAAACTTAGTGTAAACGTATTTAATAATACTACTTTTTGTTAAGTTTTCACAATTACAATGGTCCATCAAGTTTGAGATTTATTTATTTTTTACTTTATTTTGTAGAATATATAGTTGACATCTCTTTCAGAAATGGCAATTCATTAAAACAAAGCAAGCAAGGGGATAGCGAAAAGATTACAACATACTGATGTAGTTACAAGGGGAAATTCTCCACTCAACAATGCTTTTTTGGCTCTCGTTACGTCTAAGAATCACCCAACTAAAAGACTTTGCGATAATGAAATCAAACAAATCACTTAACCTCGGTTTAGAGTTTTCAAAGAGAGATATATTGAGAAAGCATCAAATAGAGTAGCAAGTCACCATGAAAATGGCCGTTATACTTTTGCAAAGCAGATGGGTAACCCAGGCAGAATCGA